GATGGGTGATGAGATGCTTTTGTGGAGTAAAAGGGATTTTTGTGTGTGTGTTCAGAAGAGGTTTTGGGAGATGGGTGAGTGGATGTGAAAAAATGTGGGTGAGATGTAGAGGGTATGGGGGGTTTTGATTAAAAATTTAATAAAATAGGGGGGGATTTTACTAAAAATGAAGGTAATGATGAAATTTTACAAAAAAAATTATAGAATTGAAAAGTTATGTATATTGGAAAAAAATGGAGGGTTTTGAAACTGTCGAAATGTTGGGTAGTGAGATTAGTTGTTTAGTAAAATATTAATTTATGTGGATACAAGAGTTTGGTATGGAGGGATTTTTTTGAATTTTCGTAAGTAAAGAGGAATGTGTATTACATTTTAAGTTTGATAAAAAGAAGGGGGAAAAATTTGTATCGAATAAAATTTTGAATAAATTGGTAAGTGATGAGGGTTTGTGGGTAATGTAGTCGAACTAGAGGCGAAAAAGTGGTTTTGGTTGTGGGTTTTTGTTGGACTTTTTCTGATAAATTAGTTCAAACGAGAAAAAAAATTTCGGGTTGTGGGGGGATGTGGGTTGGGGTGTTTTGGGATGTGGATGTTTTGGGTTGTGGGTTTTTGTTGTTAACTAGAGTTTCTGAAAAAGATTTATAAGTGGGTTGTTGTTGTGCTTTTTTTTGACGAAATTTGTTTAAAACCCGGAAAAAAAATTTTGGGTTGGGGTGTTGTGGGATGTGGGTGTTTGGGTTTTTTGTCGAACTAGAGATGCGAAAAGATTTATTGTGGGTTGTTGCTGTGGGGGTTTTGGGGGTTGTGGGTGTTGTGGGTTGTGGGGGTTTTTGTCGAACTAGTGATGCCCAAAAAGTGGTTATAAGTTGTGGGTTTTTTTTTGTTTTTGTTTGGATTGTGTTCATTTTTTTTTTTTTTTTTTTCACTATGTTTATCTTGTTGGAGGGGTGGGGTTTGTCTTTTTTATAGTGTCTGAGAGGATTTGTGGAAAATTTGTTAGTCGTGATGTTGATCTTAGTTATGGTATTTTGGTGGTGTTTTGACGAATTCGGGTGTATTAGTAGTCACAAATGGTGTTTGAAAAAATATTCAAAGGTGTTTTTTAAGGTGTTCAAAGATGTGCAAAATATTTTTGAAGGTTTTCGGGAGTATTCAGTGGTGATTTTTGGGTGTGTTGAATGATGTTTTTGGAGTATTCAAAGGTAATTGATGGTGTTTTTGGGGTTGTTCAAAGTAAGTGTTTGAGTTTGTTTTTTTGATACGTTGAAAAATCTGGATAATGAGGGGGTAGTAGGGGGATGGTTTTAAATTTTAAAGTAAGTGTAGATAAATTAAAACTTCAAATCTTTTTGGGGGTATTTTAAAATTTTTCTTGGAAATGTTTCGTGTTGTTTGGAAATGTTCAAAGGTATTTTTGAAGTATTCAGTGATTTATGAGGGGGGTGTTTTGAAGGTGTCAAAGAAAAGTGGGGGGTTTTGGTGTGTGTGTGTGTGGGTGTGGTGTGTGTGGTGGTGGTGTGGTGGTGGTGTGTGCGTATTAAATTCGTAATATGTAAAAATTTTGACTAGGGAAATTTTTCGAAAAAATGGTTGTAAGTGTTGTGGGACTTTTTCTGATGAAAAAGTTTTAAAACGAAAAAATGTGTAACATGTGTTGATTTTTTAAAGAAATTGTGAATTGTTGTGGGGTTTAAGAAAAAAAAAGTGGAATTATTTGGGTTATTCTGTTTTCCCCTATGTTGCATATGAAATGGTAATTTCTGGAAAGGAGATGCGAAGAAGATCTGAACATAAAAAAGCTAGAATTTCTTTAAGAGAAAATATGTTGTTTTAGGATATCGAAAAAATGGGTTTTAAGTTGTGGGTTGTTGTTGTGACTTTTTTTGTGAAATTAGTTAAAAAGGAAAAAAAAATTTTGGGTTTTTTTTGGGTTTGGGGGTGTGGGTTGTTGTGGGATGTGGGTGTTGGGGTTTTGGGCTTGTTGTCGAACTAGAGTCCGAAAAAGTGGTTATAAGTTGGGGTTGTTGTTGTGACTTTTTCTGAGAAATTAGTTAAAAACGAGAAAAAAAAATTTTGGGTTGTGGGGGTTGTGGGATGTGGGTGTTGGGGATGTGGGGGTTTTGGGATGTGGGTGTTGTGGGTTGGGGCGTTTTTGTCGAACAGAGATACCGAAAAAAAAGTGATTTGTTTTAAGGGTTGTGTGTGTTTGGATTGTGTTCGTTTTTTGCACTCATGTTTTATCTTAGTTGGGGGGTGAGTGTACCATAGAAATTTGGGAATTTGTCTTGGTTATAGTATTTGGGGGGTTTTGTGAAAATGGGTGTTAGTCTGTTTTGTTATCTTGTTTATGGGATTTTTTTGGGGGTGTTTTTTACTGTATTCAGTGGTGTTTTAGTATATTTAGTGGTGTATTTGGGGTACTCAAAAAAGAATTTTGGAAGTGTTTCAGTGTTGTTTGGAAATGTTCAAAGTATTTTTTGTGAGATTCAAATGATTTTTGAGAGTGTTTTGGGTGTTCAAAGTAAAGGAGGTGTGGGGGTATTAACTTCGTAAAAAATGTACAATTTTGACTATGAATTAATCGAAAAATTTATAAGTGATGTGGTACTTTTTCGAGAAAAAGTTAAAAAGAGAAAATTCTAGACTTGTTTTATTTTGTGAAGAAATTGTGGGTTGTTGGGGTATTAAAGAAAAAAATTGAAAAATTTTTGGGTTTTCCGGGTTTTTTTAAAAGTGAAAAAATTTTCCCTATGTTTAATTTAAAAAGTGTAGGGGGGGAAATCGACAAGATTAGCTGGTGCGGGGTCATCACGTGATGTCATGAAAAGGGGGAAGTCGCAAGATTCAGTTGTATGTGTGAGTCATACGTGAGTCACTGACCGCCGAGTAAACACAGGTGGGGTTGGGGGGGGGTTTACTTTTTTGACCTGTGTAAAAGAAACCCACCCTGCCCCATGGGGATTCATTTTAATCTTACCACCAGGGGGAAATCCAAAACTCGATCGAGGGATGGGTCTTGGTATTATCGAGAAAAAACTTGATCCAAAGATTTGGGGTTTTGATTATCGAGAAAAAAAAAAGGGATGCAAGAGGGGTTCATTTTTAATGTTATACCCCGAGGGGGGAATCCAAAAAAACTTGATTCGAGGAAGTGGGAGAAAAACTTGGGCATAGAGGGTTTGAAGTGGATGGGGGGGGAAATCTTTGTTTATTTATATCGAGAAAAATTGATCGAGGAGATGGAGCAGGGAATTTGGGGGTGGAAGGAGGGGTACCCAAAAAACTTGTC